AATCAAGAGAATAATAAGGAGGCATTTTAGCTATATCTATAAAATTTTACTCTTTAAAAAGATATAAAGAAAATATGACAAATTGTTAACAATGGATTAATGTGTGTTATGAGTATGTGGATTCTTTTCCTAATATTTAATTTTAAATAAAAATAAATACAATAAATGCTTTTCTTTATTAAAAAAACACTTGAGTGAACCTTAAACAGTGAGAAAGAAAGAAGGAATTCTCATAAAACAGGGGAGAAAGAGATATAGAAATATAATTCGTCTAAGGCCACACTGTCAGCTAAAAACTGACAGAGCCAGGAATCCAATCTAGATCTGCTCAATTTCAAGCTACCATACTATTCTCTAAAATTAATTCAGATTTTTCATAGAACTCCCAAAGTAGAGATCACCTGCATTCACACTGAGGCTCTTGGGAACACTAATCCAATACAGCCCTCCCTCCTAATCTCATTCCCTCTTAATCTCATAAAATTCATTCCCAGGGATGTCCTAGAAAAATCAGGCTTCAAGGGGGACAAAGCTAGTTGGTTATTACCATGGATGTGTTCCCTTTTATGTGACTATTTTATGGTTGAAGTTCTGGTATTCTAGAGGGGCATTTTTCATAAATATGCAATCCCATGACATTGAATACATGGATTGGCTGCTTGGCACATCAACTTTGAATTTAGATAACCATTTTTAGGACAACTAAAGTGATTTAGGACACCCTTTTGAAATCTGAGAATTTTCCCACATCCCTTGAAGTATTTGGGTAGGTAAAAGATACAAAGTAACACTTTCATATTCTCTGAATTATTACCAAATAAAAGTTTCTATAAAAATACTTATTTTTGCATGATAACTTTGAATTATCCACTAACATTTTAGACTAAATATGTACTAAGTAAAACCTACAAAGAATTGACAGGTTCAATTTCTACCAGGCAAATCTGTAAGACAGAGAAAGCTGAGCCAGGACTGAACATGAGGAAAAATAGGTGTTCAACACACCCATAAAACAAAGCCCCACTCCTCCAATGCTACGGACTAGTTTCATTGTTCTTTTCTCTTCCTATTTATTTAAACCTTTCCTCTTTAATAGGTTCTTCCCCTAACATATATAAACAAGCTCAAATCTCTCCCATTTTGGAAAAGAAAAATTACTCTGCCTCTATTTCTCTTTCTCATCATAGCTAGGAACCTAAAGTCTATCTCACACCAATTGGAAAGTATTATTTTTATTAATGTACTTACTCACTGAACAAATATTTGAGTGATTACTATACACTAGGCACTGTTCAGAGCATTTGGATAAATGAGTGAACAAAACAAATATCCTTATCTTTGTGGAGCTTACATTCTAGCTGAAGTCATGTAATAGACAATAACATGATGTGATTAGAAGTGCCCGGCACATACTACGTACTACATAAATGTTTGTTTCTATTGTAGTTATTATTTCTCTTCATCATCTGTCTTGCCTTCCATGTGCTGTATTCAGGCATCTATCCTCATGCATCAGTTAAAATAACTCTCAGAAAGGTATTATTGCCCTCTTTCCAAATTTCCAAATCCAAGCCATATTTTTTCTTCCTCATCTTGTAAGAATGAGGCACCAAATTGAGGAAACTTTTTACCTAAACTTCCCGTCCTTATCCCTTAAGAGGCATCAACTACTTTAACCTTTGCTCTATTGTATTCTGACTATAAAGCTAGACTCCATATTAGTCTCTATCTTATTGTTTTGACTATCCGTCTTGTATTAAACCATCAGTTCTATTAGTGAAGTTGTCCAGTACCTACCATGGCATTTCCTAGGTACTCAACAAATATTAGATGAATAAAAGTTTCTTTGAACGTTCTTCTCTATAATCCTTCCATTTTTGCTCTACCAGCCCTCCTCTGGCTTTGCAAATGAAAGAAAAAGTAAAGCCAATGCACAGACCATCACAGCTAGTTGTAACAAATGAATATAATGTTGTGCTACTATTTATACATGATTTTTAATGATTCGATTTTTAAAAATATCTCAGTAAATAATGGCCAGAGGAACTGTGCTAATATATTTTGGAATAATTAAAAACAAATTTAAAACCATCATCATACAAGGATATTTTACAAAACTTAAAATATTTGAATGACTCCTTTGCCACCTAATATGTTCATGGCTTTCAAATTAAAGATGAACCCAAACTCAATTTTATTTCACTATGATCAATGAGGGAAAGATTGTTGTTGCAGTAATTACTAAGAAAAAGATGATATTTCAGAAATGCTTAAATAACACGGACCATTATCAGAAAATGGCTTTTTCCCATTAAAAAAAAATCACAATAACAAGACAATACATCTGTATCCCTGAGTGATAAAACTTTGTCGCTTGTTTAGTTTTTTAACACAGTGAGTAAAAGGCAGCGGACAAAAATCAACCTGTCAAGAAATGGGTTATTCAGTACTGGACTAGCACCGCAGGGGGTTCGCTCTGCTTCCAACAGGAGAGCCCTTTGTGTAACAAGAACAAACTATTAAGGGTTTAATGACACTGCAATAGCATATTAGACGCCGAAAAAGGAAACTAGGATTCTTTTCACCAAGTTGCTTTGTTTCTACTATAGCCACCAAGGGATGTACCATCCACACAATCCTCAAATGTACAATGGGTTTGGAGATGCGTTTTTCTGACTTTAGTCCTGCCTTTGACTCAGTTTTTCCTTATTTATTTATTTATTTTCATTTCCCTCTGATTGCAGTTTATTTGCCTGGAAATGTGTACTTATGTGTCACTGGAAGACAGGGACACCGAGAAGACTATAAGTTAATAGCCTTGAGAAACCAGGATTACAGAAAGGGGGGATAAAAACAGAACCAAATCCTGCATGGTCAAGTGGTGCTAATGTAAGATTGTAACAGGGATGTATGCCCAGAATCATCAAAATAGAAAACTGATACAATCAAAATGTTTACTGTGTGCACTGGGTAACTGTCATAATTCTATACACTGCCAGATAATTACAGTTCAAGCATCTATATATTTTTAAATATCAGTTTACATAAATTTCCAATCTCCAGGAAACTACAGATAGCCTAAACAGCCAATTCCTGAAGGGCAAGTCCTGATCCTCACTTATTTTAAGATCTTGAAGAGCCCAGCTTCAAGTTTTCTAGATCCTGAAGAGCTGGATAGGCCCAAAAGGGGCAGGTCAGTCTCAGAAATGGAACCAGGTCTATGCATGGGATCCTCCTGCCTGCGTAGCAGCTCACGCATCTGTGGAAAGAGTGAATTTGGTAAGCAGCTGAACCAGAGTTGCCTACTTTGCAGCACTGCTATTTCTGTACACTCACCGTTGTTCCTACACATTCTCAGTTGCGCACTTGTCTGCACAAGGTGTGAAGTTGTGTGGTTGGCACCTGCTAATAAGGGTAATTATGGCATTAGTGGAAGCAAGCAGGCCATCTGAGGTTGAAAAACAACTCAAATTACAACTCCATCAATTCACACCCTCAGAACTGTTTCTTTTTGTCCTTCTATACAGAGCTAACTTGGAGATGAAATTAAATCTGCAACTATTTGAAAACCAGCCTTTAAATAGTTGCGAGACTAGAGGAGGAATCACCTTTCAAAATTAAAAATACATTAACATGCCAGAGGTGAGCATTTGATATTTGTAGCACCAAACGGCACTTGCTAAATCACCTTTCAGTAGATCTCCATGCATTTCTGTGTGGATAGATAGGTAATATTGCCCTTTAAATTAAAACAAATAATAGAAATAAAAAGAACACTACTGCAAAGGGAAATTTGAAATCCAGATCATATAGGATAGAGGCAAAGAGGTTTTAAATTACTTTTATGCCTATTAACCAATTCAACAGAGAGATTATGTAAAACATTAATATCCTGAAACTTAATTTGGTATCCAATTCAAATATATAATTTTCATATTAATATAATTATAAAACTGAAATAAAATTCTTTCACAGTTACTATAAAAACACTGTTTTTAGATTTAAATAATAATCTATGACCAACTCTCAGAGAGGAACAAATTCCAAGGAATAAATACGACTAAATCCTACTTCACTCTATCAGAAGTTTATGCTGCGAGGAGTAATTTGAGCATCACATATTACTAGATTAAAGCTTGCATTGTCAACAATGAAAACTAAAAATAAGGGGAGAAAAGAGTGTTTCTTGAATTACAAAAATGAAAAAAAAATTTTTCAAATCATGAAGGGTTGATTTGCCAGACACACACCCATGATTGTGGCCCAGAACTTGAAAACACATCCTTTAAATGCCACTGTTGGGACTCAGAACAGTGGCCCCTTCCTCCAGCTCTTGCATAGGGTAGAACAGAACAGAACAAAACAGAAGCAGACCCCAGACAGCTATGACAAGGATGACACACACTGTCCTACCATGGGCCTACCATACTCCTATAAAGAACACCAGGAGACCATTTTCTGAGTAAAGGGGAATGCCAGCGGTATAACTTTTTGATTTCTAATAGTGGCATTAAAATCATGAGGCCAGCCCAACCTCTGAGAAATCTCTAAGAAAACTTCAACCTATTTAGGTAGGAAATCTAATTACCAAGGTGGATTCAAACACATGTCCCCTACACTGCACACACAAAAACACCAAGACTCAGATCATAGAAGAAAAGTACTTTCTGGATGACCAAGAATATGACAAACCTCTCCTTGTTGGAGAAACATCTCTCCCATTATTTATGATTTACGCATGCTTCATTGTTAGTGAAAATGAAAAATAACACAATCATTCCCATTGGGGAGGGAGTCATGGACCGTATCGTTCCCTGGGAATAACTTTAATAGGAAGTGATTTCAAGACTCTAACTAAAGCAGAGAAGACAGTAACGAAGGCCACGTTAATAAAACAATTGTGTAATCATTTTACATTCTCAAAAGAAAGACGATGCAAGAAAGTTCCCAATTTTTATTAACTAAAATTTTCTACATTTATCTATTTTGTCTTGAAAGAACAGTGAAATCCTCAAATGATTTTTATAAGGATGAATGCCACAAAATTTCTGAGTCCAACATGAATAAGAGCCAAAGCCATATCACAGAATATCTTATTTATTCAGAAGACAAAATAAAAAGCAGCATTAGTCATACTAGGTGCTTTAATTACTTCCTAATCTCTATAGTTTAAGCTATTTTCACATGAAACACAATAAGTTGAAAATAGCACCAGCCCACCTTAAGAGGGAGAAAAATAATCTTACCTTGAAGATTAAGAACTTTTATAAGTATATCTGCTGCAAGCATTATTACTCCCTCTCTTCTGTTTGCATAAATCGGTTGGGTGTCTCTCTTACAAATGAAAGTGTTAACAATTCATGGAATCAAATCTTGGTTTAAAAACTCATTATCTTTGCTTATAAAAATCTGACAATTAAAATCATGGCTTGCAGCCCTTATTAGATTTTTAGAACAAAGTCAATATCAAACTTGCCATGTAATATGAGAATAAGCTCAGGCCTTTCCATACTGGTTTCAACTGAATTACTAATGTTTCAATTAACAAGTACTACAGAGAAATATAGCACCATCATCACCCTTAGTAAACAGGAGGACACAGTTCCTTTTTCAGATGTCTTCTGGTTGTCATGGTATCCTGTTATGCCCTCTCACACACACACACACATTTTTATTCCAGGTAACAAAACTGCAATTATTTATTTAACCTAACTTGTAGTTATATGAAGATTTTATGTTTTTCTGATATAGACTCTGCACACACCTGTTGAACAGAATCAAAGAAGCAGCATAAGAAGTTACTGAGAATAATACTTAGACTTTCTATTAAAAAGGGGATAAAATTAATTCTTAGTTCACATAATTGATAGAAACCAGAAGTCATCAATTTTATATATTCTACATAATTTATTTTAGGAAAAAACTTATCTTTAGAATAATCATATCCTTTTCAAATATTTTCAAGTCTACATTTCTAAACAAATAATATTTCAATGTCTGAAATAAAATTTATTGCATTTTAAGTGTACTATATCCATAATTAAACCAAAAACTTATCCACAAAACATACTATTACAGAAAAATATTTCAAATTTAATAACATTTTTTGCTATTAGTTTTTGTGAACAAGCAAACAATATAAACACACCATAAATTTTAATGTGTTTCTATTTCATGCTGTTGAAGTAATGTTTTAAACATCCTGTTTTTCAGGGATTAATTCTTATCCTTCAATGGCAACCCCTCGAAAACAGAGCAGGGTAACATTATTCATGCTATGAAATACAGTGCTTATGTACTATCCTTTCTTTTAATCATTTCAGTTTCTCTTCACCATGCAATATCTGCTGTCAACTCCTCTGGGTGTAAAACATACACACACACACACACACACACACACACACACACACACACACACACACACACGCTGATGTCCTTAATGATGTTTTGGAAGTTAAAAGTAGTGTATCCTTCTTCCCTATGAGCAACAGGAGGGCTCTGCACTCTCTTCTAGAACAGAGTTCTCTCCCTCTAGGCTGAAGGAAAACAGATAATATTTAGATAATAAAAATGCAAATGCAGCTAAAGTTTTTATCAACTGTACTTCTCTACACACATACGATACCTATATCGTTTTCAATTGAGGGCTTCTATTACCCTAATTAGACACTGAGGAGGAGCTGACACATGGGAAAACTGTTTTCTGAACGCTGTATATGTTAACAGTGGGATTATAAGCACCTGGGATATTTTCGCCATTCTCTGCATGCAAATGATATTCTGCAAACAATAAAACGCACCCAATTAACATAGTGGGGGTGTGAGATGGAAAAGAGCAACTATTAAAAGAGTAAAAATCTGGCATGCTCTTCCTATTCCGCCCTAATTCAACGGATGCAGAGTCCCTCCGAACGTGCTGCACGGGCAGAACCCCAGGACGTATACATGAGTCACAACAATACACTCGACGTCTCACACGCTCTGTTAATTGCAAAACTCTAACGATCTGACAGTGAGCCCCTCGCCTCTCGAACATGTTTTCCATTTTTGCAGACACACCAGAGACGTCAGGAGACTCTCCACGACTGAAGAAAGGGAAGTCATTCCTTCTTCCCCTTCCTCACAGCTCCCACTTTCTTTTCTTAGAACCGGTTCCACAAGTTCCCTGGCTGGAGCACCTAAGGAGGCAAGTTCAGCACCATGGAAAGGGCTCGACTCGCGTGCGAGGGAGAACGGGAAGGAGAGATCCCCCCCCAAGGGCTCTCTCGGCCACTCACCGGCGTCTGCTGCGACGGGAGCCCCGAACGCTTGGTGGACCCCTGCTTGGAACTTAACCTTTTCCACGACTCGGCAAACCTGCCCCGGCTGGCGCTCCGGCTGCGCCTGCGGCTCTCCGCGCCGTCCTCGCGGTCGGAGCAGCCCCGCTCCACTTCCGCCGCATCCCTCCACTTCTTCCCCATGCTAAGTTCGCCTCTCTTGCCCGGGCAACCCCCGCTCTCTCTCGCTCCTCTCGCCGCCGGGGTCTCACTCCAGCCTGTGCGCGGATCGCTGTTGGCGCCGCCTTTGCCTCCTGAGGCTCCAGCCAGAGAGCCCCGCGCTCGGTTACCGCCGCCGCCGCCAGGCTGCGCTTGCGCCGGCGATTGGCTAAACGGTGGGCTGGGGCTGCGAGCGCCACCTGCGCTCCAGCCAGCTTCCTTTTGCGCCCCAAATTGCTCTCCGCGCCGCAGCCGCCGCCTTCCCTGGAGGGCGCGCGGCCCACGCCTGGGACTATTAATGAGCCTCTGGAGAGCTACCTCCAGTCACCCCACCCCGCCCAGTCCCCCAGGTCTGGCGACCAACCTCACCCCCACCCGGAGCTGCAGGTGCAAGACGGGGTTACCCACACTGGGTGGGTGGCGACTCCGTTTGACTTGGAGACAGACAGGAAGTGTGCAACTTTGTCCTCCTTCCTTTCTAAGTTTCCTCTTTCTCCTCTTTGCAGCAACAACTGCCCCCCAAGGATCCTTGGGGAGAGTAGAGCTCCATCTCCTTGCCAGACGCCACGCTAATTCCTTCTCAGGCTTGCTCAGACTAGCCCACTGGTCCTGAAACTTGACTGCACATCGGAATTACTCAAATATGTTGTTGTTGCTCATATTCCTCAGCATCTGATTTAATTGGATGGGCTGTGGCCTGGGATCGGGTTATTAAAATCTCCGCAGGAGATTCTTGCTGCTCTAACCGCAGTTAGCGCCTTCAAGGACCTGTCCTATGGGGACCGGACAGAGGAGAGTCCTTGGAGTGGAGGAGGGGTTAATACTTCTTCATCAACTCATTTTTCTCCCCAGGGTAGAAATGGGATATTCAGTTTACCCTTTCATTCCTGGGGCAAGGGCGGTACAGCATTTAAGCGATGAGGATGAGATGAGAGCTCCTGTGTGTGGTCTATTCTTTGACACTTCCACCTCGTCCCAGTTTCACGTGTCTGCCTTCTGCTCTTTAGAAGGAAAGCTGGCCGTCCTCATACGTTTTGTGTCATTTATTTTACCAGACCGAGCGGTCCCCCTCTTCAAGAATGTCCTTGATCAGAGGAGAGAGGGCTGCTGGGGGCATCGCAAATTTACAAAAGCTGAAAAAACGACCTTACTCATTATTAATAGGAAGGAGGCCTAAAATTGCTCCTGGTTGAAAGGGCTGTCTGGTTGCTTATCTGTTGCAATGGCAACAGATGTATTTCATTTCCTTCTGAAATAGAGCATTCTTCCTCCTGTTTGAATAATGTCAGGTCCTCCCAGGAGGTAAAGGTGAAAAGGGATTAAGAGGAAAGGAGAGAGGGTGGAAAAGACTGTAGGAAAATTGGTGTTGTGGTGCCAGTTGTGAAAATCATAATCTGAGTTGTCAGTGGTCAGTCTGATTAAGCAGGGGTTTTGGAATTGACTAGATTACGGAAATGAAATACAGAACTCTAAAATCCCACAGCTGTGCACCTGTGTGTGGTGCTACATTAATATTAATCCTGTCATTTTTAAGCAAAGGGACTCACAGAGCATACTTCCTACCTTTTAAACAACACTCTGTGTCCAGAAATCACACACCCACATTAAACAAAATGAGACTCTAAACAATGTTAGTAACACACAAGGCCATTTAATGAGAAAACCACAGGCTCCGCTGTGTAGTTTTTCACTTCCTATCTAAGTTCATGGATTTGAAATTATTACTGACATTTCATGAAAGTAGAATAAGTCAGTCTGGATTCCTCCCCCTCATGAAAATAAATCAAGATTATGCATAGTTTACAAATTAGACGGGTATGAGAACTAAATATCAATTGGGAAGTAGAATGAAAGTCAGCAAATTATGACTTAAAGTAACTATTTACCTTTTCCTTTATTTGTCAACAAAAGGGACTATAAGTAAAAACTCCCTAGGAAAATAAAAGCCTGTGTGCTAACCTGGATGCCTTGAAAGTTCACTCTCTAGATATAATGATAAAATCCCTGAAAAGGAATTAAGTGGGGCCTTCACAGATACACCAACGCACTTAATCCAAGACTGCTCACCTCTCAGAGCCATGAGACCCTGGTTCACCCACGTAGGCCAATTAAGGGGAAAACAACCCTGCTATCACAGGTATCTGTCAGGAACGATGGATGCTACCAGCACATTCATTAGCACTCACAGCAACTGATGAGATTTTTAGACATACTTAGAAAAATTTAATGATGAGTAGTGATTGCATATGTCATTTTATTTTTTTTAACTGTTTGGTCCAAAAATGAACTTTAGATTGTCCTTGTCTTACAGTAGTATTTTTAAAGCCTTGTTGGAAGGTGATCTCTGTGTTTCTTTTTTGCACTTACTATGTACCCAAAACGTCTGGGAGCCGTACGAGAGTCTAAATTAGAGGTGATTACAGGCAAGCAGAGAATTGACCCTTTCCTCTTCTGATGTTCGCGCATCCTCTCCAAATTTCCTACTAGCCAAGAGCTGGAAAACTAGACTGAAAGTCTATCGTACTTTTTACTAAGTTAGCAGAGAACGGCAGCATCAAAGCTAAGAAGACATTTAAAATCACCAGCATTGAAATTCTGGAGTCAGGGTTGAAAGCCATTTCCAAAGCAACTTAACTTTACTGGAAGAGTCACTGTAGTTACAAAGGTAAATATTAATATGTTGAAAAAGCAAGTGGGAAGTATAACATAAACCTTTTTTTCTCCATGGTTTCTAGGCATTAAAGAATGTGAATATTAGTAGATCAAGATTAAGGCAAAAATTACTTATATTGTTAAATAATAGGTATTCTATATAAAATAAAAATGTAAACATATGAATCTTTATATATGAATCAATCAAAATATAATATCATGAAATGTCCTGAAAAGTAAACTTTGAGTAGTATCCCAAAAAATTTCTCAAGAAAATATCAAATGCCCACACTGCTCTATTAGCCCTAGGAGCTCCATGAAGCTTACTTCGCCCTACTAGTCTGTTGAATAC